TTACATTTTTTTAAGGCTGTTAACAGAGGGATCTGATATAAATTCTGATACAGTCAGTTTTTTCCTTTCCAGCACACATACAGGTGCTGCCTTTTCACAATGCACCCATCCTGCCACAGCAACAGAAGATGCAGTGTGTTTAAGACATCCTCTTTTCTTTTCCCCTTCTTAATTTTTATTTTAAGGCTGTAACAATAAAAGGATTGCTCATTCTGATTGACACATATACTGAAGCTTTTCTGAAGAGCTTAGCGTGACAAGAGAACAGCTAAGGACCCTTTACACCTGCAGCCATTTTGAGCCCACTTGGTCCTCAGCCTGCCAAAGCAAACTGCAACTCTAAAGACAGGAGAGGAAAAATTCTTTACTTCGTCATCACTTGTGTATGTATTTCCTCCAACATCTGATGTGTCTGATCCCCACAGTTCATGTGTCTTGATCCTACTGAGGTCTTCCAAAGGTTGTCCTTCTCTCAGCTAATTCAAATCAAACTCTATAACTGGACAGTAGCAGCAATTTTTTCAGTCCCACACATTAAGATTTATTCAAAGCCCTGACCTACCTCCTGTGGCTTCAACTTCAGGGAAAGGGGCACTGATAATTTTCTGCACCAGTGCCACATGTGTTTTCCAGGGATTTTCAGTGCAATATTAGCTCTATTAAAGCAGACAAGATGATTTCAGCCATCATATACTTTCTGCTTTTATCCTTAATTCAGCTTTTATGTTCTGCTGAGAACCTACATTGGTATGTGCTGGGATACACCAGCCCTGCCTCTTGCTTTCTGACCAACTGGGGTCCCAGGCCCTGGATTTACTGCTGTTCCAGGGCTCTCTCCTTATCTTGCGTCCTTCCATAACACCATGATGATAGCAGATCCACTGGAAGATTAGAGAGACCTGCTCCTTCCTGAAGAGCTATTAGCAGAAGCCTCCTAATTGCTCCATTGCACTGCTTGTACTATGGCTGCAGCCATCCTCTCATGTCTGTTCTTATTTAGCTGTCATATCGTCTCAGCACAGAAGTTTTCTATAGCTGGAAGAACTACTTCAATAGCAGACACTCAGAGGCCTTGATATCTTACAGCCCTCATTGGCAAGATGCTACTGGAATAATCCCACTTGGCCAAGTTAAACTGACTTCCAGGTAGGGCTTGGCAGACAAAACTTTCCTGGTCCCATGAACTGAAATGAAACTGTTTGCCATTTCCTTGGCCCAAACTGAAATCAAAACTATGCAAGCCTTCTAATGAGCTAGAAATATTTAGTTCCAGTTCAACTGACAGATTTGCTTGTCTTTTACCAAAATGAGATTTGAGCATGGCCCTTTTTCGATCACGTTTCATACGAATTATTTTCAGTTTTCACACAAAATACAGGAATTAGATAGCACTAATAAAATTTATCTTCCACAAAAAAATTAAGATGGGGTGCTCTGGGTGTTTTCAGTTGGGGAATTCATAAAACTGACCATTTCCCAATTAGGTTTCATTCTGATAAATCTCTATTTTCCTAACAAAACCAAGAACATTTATCAATGGAGAAATCCCACACAGCTGCCTTCTGTGTAGGTCAATAGCGATTCTGCATAGGACCAGACCCTGACAGCACATCTCTTCCTTTTCTCCTATGTTTCCAAATCAGCTTTTTTTTTTTACTGAAAATACGTTTTCTGACTTTTGATGTTGATGCTCATTTCATACGCTGAAGTTGGCATCCTGGATTTGTTAGAAATGTATTCCCATGAAGATGAGGATATCACCAAAGACCCAGATCATGGGCAGGATGGAGCAAATGACAGGAAGAGAGAAAAATTGCAAACACTGCCATACAAATACTCTGAAGCACAGAGACAACCACTGCTTGTAGGGAAGCAGAAATACTTCTAAATGTTGTGTCCTTTTCCGAATTTTCCAAGCAGCATCACTGTGGGTACTTTAATGACATGTTTACATTTGCTAATTCCATGCCAAGGTTTGGCAGTCACCCACACAGGAGGTAATTTGAGTTACTAGAAGCAGAAGTACCACTTACAAGCTTACCTCCTCCTGTTCATCTCAGGTGGAGGTGGGCTGGGCAAAGAGTGACAGCTGGCCCTTTACTGAAGGGCTTCATCATACTAAGTGATTTGTGGGTTTTGTTATTATTCCAGCACACTCATATGAAAATTTATCTTTTGTCACGAGTTCCAGTTGGTGACTGGAAGCTGTTCAGCATCCTGGAAGGACTCACAGCCTCTGGGCACTGTCAGAGTAAATCCCAGCACCTTGATGAGAGGATAAGACACAATAATTGAAGCCTACATTTTTAAGACAGAGGAAACACAAAGGATTCAGCAGTGGCCCATTTGGTGTTGGGCAATGGATTCCACACTTAAAGGAGCCCTGGGTGTCTTCCTTCTGCCTTTCATAAAACGTGTTACTGCTTTTCAGTCCAGCACCTAGGGGACAGTTACTCTTCACAAAAACAAACACATGACAGTGCACTACATCAGACTCAGAGAAATTAAGTCTGAGCACTCAGGCCAGAAAGAAGATTGAGTACACACTTGGAACAAATTACCTCTTTTCTCCCACAGGTGATCAAGGATGAAATGCTTTGAAATGCATGAAAAAAGGGGTGTGGGGGTGAAGAAACACTGCCATCACTCCTTCCTTCCCCTCTCTGGGGGTACACATGCAGCCTGAAGGGTTATTAGTCTGCAACCCTTCACTAGAGTTAGATTTGGTCTAAGTCACCTGAAGTATATTCCCACCTACTACCAGCTAAAGCTTGAAAATTTTGGATAAACTTCCCATTTTGGGTTTTCTTGACCATGAGGGGATCAGATGGGTCTAACATCATTGCAAGGTTCAGTCAGTGGCCAGAGTCCTCTGACAGGGATTGCCAGGGAGCTGTCAGCTCAGATCCACCTGAGCAGCAGGCAGAGTAGAGGCTGCAGGGCGATGCTAGATGTGCCACCTGTATTTCACATTGGGAAGAAAGAATCCATTATGTTCCAAGTGTAAATTTAAAGAGGAAGTACTAATGCTTTGAAGAGCAGCATGGGACAGAGGGAGGCAGCAGCAAATGGTGGCTCCGGGATGGGGTCACATTTCTCACCTTTCACAGTGCACACCCAGAGCTGCCAGCTTGCCTGCCTACCAGTGCCCTGCACAACCTTATACTGGGGGCCTCTAGCCCTAGCGTCACCCTAAAGGAAACAGAGCTCTCCTGGGGAGAGCACAACAGGCACCATCTCTGATCAGAGAGGTGATACAGATCTTTGATGGCATTCATATGTTAAAATGGCTTGATTGAGCAAATGACTTTTGTTTTATTCCTGTCTCCTAGCCTTATTTATTTTTATTTCCATCCCCTCTTTCTCTGAGAATTAGTAGCAGTTTCACAGAAAGTGAAGCTCATCTTTGCACTGCTGTGACCAGGCAGCTATGAGCAGAGTACGCACTAAAAGCACTCTGTTGTGCTCAAGTGGCGATCTGTAGGCAATGCAAACTAACCACCAACCCAGGGCAAGCTGTTAACACAGAAATAAATGGTAACCAACCTGAAATACTGAAAAGTAAAAGTAATGATCTATCTCTCTTTGTTGTCACCACAAGCTCACATTTGCCTTAGTACAGCCTATGTACACAGCAAGGTCCAATAGGAAACTGGTACCCTGCATGTCAGTGCTTCCTCTTTCAGAATAGAAAATACCAGTGACAGTTGCGTGGTGGCTGCTGGACTTATCCGTGGTAAGCATTGTATAATGAAGATAAGAGGTGTGAATTTTGTTTACTGTGATTTTGTAACTTAACTGATGCTTACTGTTTTCCTGTCTCTTCTCATCAGAAGTGTTATTTTGTCCTATTAATCCCAAAGGTAAGGTAGAAAAATAAATTTGACTCTTCTTAATATTTTCATGGCTCTCCCCCAAAATTACTAGATCAGCCTTATCAAAAGATTATTCTTTCTTTAAATCAGTGCTATTTATTTGTCTCCTTTGGGTAGGAAGGAGTTACCCAGTTTGAGAACCCTTCCTTACATACAACATCACAACTGACCACTTTACATTTCCAGTTTACTAATCCATCATAATGGAACTTTCTTAGTTCATCACTGATTTATGTTCTCCCCTTTGGTTTCTTTTTTGTTTTATTCAGCCACGCACCTACTTTGTGATTCAAAATTGTGCATATGTCCATGCAAGCCATGGAGAGACTCGGTTTCCATTTTGCTACATCTTGTCCTGTCTGCCATTTAGATTCCTCCCATCCAAATTCTCAGTACACAGTCTTGCTGAGAGCATATGTGTCTAATGATGTCAGACAGACATGACCTAGCATTTACCTGCTTGTGTACCTCATCCCCCGCATGCCCACCTCACCAGTTCTGTGTGTCACTCATGAGTGGCATCACCTTACCAAGCACACCAACCTCTGTGACAGCAGACACTGAAGTGGGCTCCCACTGCACCTCCACACTGCACATTCTCTTCCCTTCTCTATACCTTCTGTTTCATCATATGACATTTTCCAAGGTCCCCACTCTTTTACTGTGTGGTTTCATATAAAGCAGAGTTGATCTGTCCAGCAAAGTTCTTCCCTAGCTTTGCAAGATTTACTAATTAATTCCTCCACTTTCATAGCTTTTACTACTCAGTTTTTCCTCTTGAAGAAACCAAATCATTGTCCTTTCTTTTAAACCTCTTTCCACCACTGTTTCAAAACTATCATTAAAAAAATCCCTACGGACACAAAAATAAATACTCTTTTTGAACTGCCTTTTCATGCCAAGGGAAGCAGAAAGCAAACAGATTCATTTCTCTACATGAACAGGCTACCATGAAAAGGAAAATAAAGTTATACATTTACCTGATGCTTTTAAAATGCATAATAGATTCTTTTTGCCGTCAGAGGTAACTGTGTATAAATGTTTGGTGTACATATCCATACGTGGTTTATATTATAGCTATATAGTTTGTATAGACACATGAAAAAAAAAAAGCCTTGCACTTACCTTTGAGAAGTAACATTTATCCCAGGTTCAGTACAATTGTCTCAGACAGGCACTTAGACCTTCTTTCTATGCCATGCATCCTTTTTTCAAAAGCAGATACAATCAGAAAAATCCTGGTTGCTCTGTAGCAAACCAAAATGCAGAATAGATTGTTTGTCAGATGCAGTCTGGTACAGTAAAGTCCAAGTGTGTGGATCCCTGAGACTCCTTTTTCAGTAATATCCAAAGCACAAAAAAGGGGAAGAAAAAAAACTAAAAAAAAAAAAAAAAAAAAAAAAGAAAAGAAAAGAAAGAACAACAACAACAAAAAAGTGAATAACTTGTTTTTTTCTTGTTTGGTTTAAAAACCCCAGTCTCGGACGACTAAGCAGCTTGCAGGCTTTTCAAGCATTCTGATCCTAGTGTAACAAGGTGATTCTGATCCCAAGGTAATACATGCATATTGGTACTGCAAGTCTTTAAGCTCATACTAGGAAGCCCGTATTCTGTATATGTGCGTGCGTGTTCAGGAGGGGGATCGAGTTGTATCATGGGGAGAAGAGAGACAGGGAGATACACACGCAGAGGTGGAAAAAGGGAAACCGGCAAACTGGAGTGATCTCACAGAGTGCTCTAGATGGCAGAGTCTGCACGGCTTGTAAGACAAGCAATGTGCACACACCATCAAAACAAAGAAAGAAAAAATAAAAAAGAAAAAGAGAGAGGGAAAAAAAAGAAACAAAAAGAAACCCCACCCGAGAGAACTAGCAGACAGCTTCAGGAATTTCTTCTTACCTCTTCCGACGATGCAGCATACAGCAAGTGCTTTGTAATGCATGGAATCCTTGCAGGCAGGACTCAGACCCCTCACTTCTGAAACAAACAAATATGTAGCACAGGAAAGAGAAGAAAATCAGACACCAGAGCAACGAAGGCTACCAAAAGAAGCTATTAAATAAGAGTCTCAGGGAGGAGGCTTGAGTAGGTGGGAGGAGAATAGCTGGTACAGAAACGGGCATCCAGACTCCTGGTCTTAATACAGATTGTCTCTGTAATTAGGTGACAAAGCACTGCCTTCTAAGCCACTGCATAATAATAGAAACCTAAGCTGTGTAAACGCAGCCTGACATGCTAAACCCTCAGGAGCTACACCCAACGTTTGTCGGTGCAAAGCGTGTCAGTTCTCTAAGGGCGGGGGAAGCTGAGAGAAAAGGGAAGGAGGGAGAAATTTTCAGCAAAATGAACAAGCTGCAGCTGCAAAGAGCTCTCAGGTGGTGCCAATGCCTGAAATGTTATAGTGGAAGCTGTGTATGTCTGTTTATATACATATATAGAGAGATGCACAATATGTGGTACTGAGGCCATAGTTTAATGGCACTAGGTTAATGGTTGGACTTGATGGTCTTAAGTTCTTTCCCAACCTTAACTGGCCTATAATTCTGTGATTCTAGTAACACTGTCAGCTCCATTCATGCTGTTCAATACTAGAAGAATTTGCCCTTTTTATACTTTGGTAACTTAAATGACAGAAGAGTACGTACAAAGGTTTTCTGTGTAAAATATTATTATTTTTAATGCTGGTGTCAAGAAACAGTTCTCGCTTTGTACTGAGCAATATTGGAATGTCTAAATAAAACCAGATTAATAATAAAATAAAATAACTTTCAGCCTTTCCCATTTACTGGCGGGTTCTTCTCTACAGCCCCCTAGACACAGAGACACACATTTTCTTCTGCCTTCCTTAGTTGAAGAGGCTTCTGCACAGAGCCAGCGAAAAGATGAGCACTGACTAAATAAAAGTAGGCAAAACCCCAGCTCGTTCAAATTACCACACACCAGTATCAATGCTCCAACAAACAGAACAATTTAGAATGTACATGGAAGGAATTTTAAAACAAACAAACAAACAAACAAACAAGGAAGAAGGAGAATTTGCCAGTGGAAATTTACCTGGAAATTGCAGCCCTGGCTCTTACATATGGTGTGACACCATTTAGTCCAGTATCCTGCTTCTGGACAGCCATCAGTACTACACACCTCCAAGGAACCTGAATGAATTTGTAGAGTCAAGGCTAGACAGACAGGGCTAACCTGTTCATGGGCAAAGCTCCTCCTTAATCCCTGTTCTTTAAAGATTAGTTAATTCACTGAAGCATGAGCAGGAAAATTGTCTACCTCTGCACTTCCAGATTAAGCATGTAAGGTCTGATTCTGAGGTTGTTTGTAGTTGGTGTAAAGTACATGTCTTTTTAGGCACCCCAAATCTAAAGAGAAAAAAGTCTTCTGATGCTCTGTAAACAGCCCAGTATGAAAAAAAAACCAAAAAAAAAAAAACTGGCATGAGTTCAGAAAAAGCTCTAGCATTTCAGTCTGGAGAGTGAGAAGCATATTGTTACAGAGTCATCTACTCTAGTTACTCTCCTCATTTACTCCTGGTGGAAACACCAGATATATTTTGAGAGGCCATCCAGTGCAGGTAGTAGAACCAGGTCACTCAGCTAGTAGGTAGGTATTAAATTTGGCCTCTAGAAGGTCAAACTAGACTGAACTGAAAACTTTGGAGACATTTTTTGAAAATGACTGCATAAAGCAACACACACTTTTTTGGAGAGGCTCATGAAAAAGATTCTGCTGCAAAATTCAGATCCCTTACTGTTATCAGCCTCACTCCTCTAGTCTATGTCTGCTACATTCCTTGGGGGACCCTCTGTACCCCTAAGGTGAAGCTGCAGATGTTGCACATAAAAGAGTTACAGTGTGCTAAAAGAGAGGAGTACAACTGCCTATTTTGCAGCCTATCCAGTTTTCCTTGGTTTTATGTGGAGCAGTGCTGAAAGGCTTTTCTTAGGAGGAAGACCAAGAGTTACAGTTTGTTCATAACCTTACTGAGCACTGAAATAAGCAATGTGGCCAAAGAAAGAGTTGAGAGGCTGGTAACTGCTAACTAGGCATTAGGAATCTTAAAATATTACTTCAATTAATAGATGACACGAATTTAGGAAGCTAACTTTAAACAAAGCTCCTGGCAACCCTGGGCCAAGCATGTTGGCTAGAAAATAGGATCAAAGCTCTCATCATGTCAGTGCCTTCTAAAATAAATGTCAGTGCATCACAGACAGAGAATACATCTCTTAATGACATCAGGAATTAATAATAGAATCTGGTTCTAGTGTTTCAGAGACTGATTTGAAAGCAAAGTGTTGTTTGCAATGACAGAAATCAATGCACTCCAAAAATCTACCAAAAACCTTTCACCAGCTACAGTTGTGACAGTGATGATTCCAAGGGAAAAAACAAAGGTGATACAATCCTGGCAAAAAGTCACCCAAAAATGATTTTCATGAGGCTGTGGTGTGGTGGGTTCCCAGTGTGATTTCTAGTTTTCCTTGATAGCCTTCAGATTTAAGTCAGAATTTTCTGGTGTTCATCCAATAGCTTCATATCTCTGCTAATCGTCCCTGATATATATTGCTTTTCTCCCAACTAAGGAGCTTCTCAGTGAATCAGCCTCTTTCTTCCTTGGTCATCCTAGCAGGAAGGGGGCTACCGCTTTCATTTGTCTTTTGCTCAGGCCTCCCCTCTTTCCAATCCTGCCTTAGCTCAGAGTCAGCCAAGATGCTTGCTTTAAATACATCTGCTCTCATTTCCACCCCCAGGGAATTCTGTTGCCACCCAAAAATCCACAGGAGAAATCTTGTTCTCCTGAGGTAGTGATCTTCTAACAGGTCCACAACACTTGCCTCTGGAAAGAGCTGTTAAGGTTCAATATCCCATTCTGGACTTAGGTCTAGAAAGCACATGAGAGACCATGACTATAGGTTATTAACTCCATGCTTACTGAACCTTGCTGAACAGCTGAATCTTTCAGTGATGCAGCAATTTCTGTGCCCCACCAAAGTGCATATTTTGTATATGAAAGGTTCTTATAAAGCCCTTAGAGCCACATTCATGTAGTTCCCTTGTACGATGACAACCAACAAAAAGACCTAGCTTGACACGGAAGTTTTGTAATAGGAATGCTCTCCTTTGACATACAGCGCCAGGTATAGTACCCAAACCCAAGAAAAGTGTGAACTAGGACAGCAGAGCATGACAAAAATGTAGAACCTACATGCTTTCGCAACCTCCAGGACAACTTTATCTGCCACAAATATTATTCTCCTTTCCAAATATAGCAGAGAACATGTTGAAGCCTTTAGCCATCTGATTGATAATACAATTTAAAAATTACATGCAGACATTAGCAATTCCCATTTCCTGCCCATCCCATTCCAGACTGAACTAGTCAGCACTGGTCCACATGACTCTTTAATCAATGGCTATCAATCAATTACACTGATTGAAGGACAGTTTAAAAAACATTTGGTCTGCAACACTACTGATAAGAACAGTTATCAGGAACAGAATCTGCCTGGTTTCAAACACTAGAGATTTGAGAAAAAAAACCCTGTAAATGTCTTGCGTGCTGTTCAGCTCAGGTCTTTACAAATCATTGAATAGCTGTTTACACATGCATATGCCAGTATAAAATATCCTTCTCAAATCCTCCACCCACACATCCTTCTGCTTTTAAAAGCAACTCCAGCCAACAGTCAAAATGAATATGCATTCTTTACATTTCATGCATCTTATTGTGGGGAAATCCTAGTCCCAGATTTCTAGACCCAGAGACAGAACAGAAAGCAGTTGCTGTTTCACAGTGCAGTGGGAAAAAAAGAAGGATTCTTGAGGTTGTTAATAAGACAAAGGCAGCAGAGAAGGTCTCTTTTGCAAAGCATTGTTATAAAAAGCACTGGAAATATGAAGATGAACTTCTTTAAAAGCGCTCTAACAACTCCACAAGTCTTTCATTTTCCATCTTGTAGTTTAATGCTGAAAGGTTTCCAAATACCAGGAAGCTATTTTTTTTTTCAGATCATAAAATCAGTTACATATTCATAATCTATTTTAAGCATTTATCTCAGCTGGAATAATCAGGATACATATGTTATCATTAAGAAGTTCTACTATAACTTTGTAGATGTTCTGAAAGAAGGTCAGCATAATATTCTTATCCAGGGTTATTATTCTTTCCATGTTCTTCCTTTACAAGCAAGGAAATCCTTGCACTTCTGTTCTACATAATCAGATGTGTGGAGCAATGGTTATTCTCACGAGGGCCTGCACAACCCAGGATTAGAGCTGAGTGAGACAGCCTTGAACACTCTCTGACTCAGCTGAGCCGAGGAGGCCTGGAGTCAAAGAAATGTAAGCAGAACGCTGAAACAGGAGCTTGCTGGCCACAAGGAATGCACCGCTTATCACAAGGCATGCACCCTGCTGTTGAAGAGATATGTGTGTAAAACTTAGCTTAGCCAATAGCAGTGTATAGACAGGCGCGTGAACAGTTGTTGGGGACCAATGATAGCTTTGCTTTAGG